CTCTGTCTCCTTGCCTCCTCAGCACGTGCCGCAGCCGACGCCGCCTCCCTCACCGCATCCTGCGCTTTCTCCTGCGCGCTGTGGGCGGCCTCCGTCGCCGTGCTCATCTTCGTAACCGCCCGCACAGCCGCAGTCCGTGCCGCCTCAGCTCGCTCCACGGCATCGGCAGCCTCCTTCGCTTTGTTGTCAGCCTTCACCTTCGACTCCGTGGCTTCCTTCTTCGCAGCCTCCGCCAGCTGCTTGGCCTCTTTCTCCGCCTTCTGTGCAGCTGCTGCTGAGGCCTTCGCAGTGTTCAGATTCGCAAGCGCCTCAAGAACATTAGCAAACTTGGTTGCAACAAGGTCCTCAGATTCAGCAACTGTCGTAAACAAAGTTTCTATGTTCCCTTCTTCCGTCAATTCCTTCAGCAGCGCAGCGTCAGAGATGGACTTTTTGTCAATGGCCTGTGACCACGCAGTTATAGCATTTTTCTTCACCTCCTCCGCTGCGGTCACGTTTGCCTCCGCCCCCTTTACGACCACACCGAGCTCGTCGTACGTCTTCTGCGCATCCTCCGCGAGCTTCTTCTTCGCATCAGCGTCCATACGGGCGGCGTCGGCTTCGCGCTGCGCGCGCTGAGCCTCCTGCGACGCCGTGTTGACATCCGCGACTGCCCGCTTCACCTCAGCCGCCACGCCATCAGCAAGCTTCACCGCAGCCGCAGCCGCAGCCATTGCATCGGCCGCCTTCGACTCCGCCTCATCCGCCTGCGCCCTGAGGGTGGCCGCAGCCTCCACCAGACCTGCACTGCCCTCCGCAGCAACACCACCAGTCACGCACAAGGCCGTGCAGCACAGAGCGGCGGCCAACAACCACACAACGCGGCGCACCGTCGCCATGATTCAATATCGCTTCAACAGCTGGAGTCTGCAGGGAGGAGAAAAGAGAGACGCTGCACAGCAGACAGCCCCAACACACACACACACACACACACTCAGAGAATGATGAAAAGAGAATCCCCAGCAGGAGAGACAGTTAGTGGGCGGTGCGCAGCAGCGCGCAAAGCAAAGCCCAAACAAAGAAAAAAAATAAACCACCCCAATTGATGTCATCACACTCAAAGCAATTCGCGGCTGGTGGAGCACACGGAGGCAATTACACAGATGATCCGCAGTTATATTGCCTTTAAAAAAATATATTGGAGTGCGGTCATTCGCCTCCACAGCCGCACACAGCTAGCCGGGGCATACAACGTACCGGGCACACGCACATGCCTCAGCACGAAGCCGGAAGGGTCATCGCACTCAGCAGCAACAGCAGCCGCGCTCCACACACACACACGCAGGACTGTCGGTGGTGTCCGCTCCGCCATTAACATGCGCCAAGTTGTTTGCCACCTGCCTCCTCGATACGTCCGCGGCTCCTCCTTCCGCTTTCCCTGCCAAGCTTTTCAGTGTAGGAGAATGCGCTGTTGTACCGTCGCCATCAGCGCCACCTATTGGAGTGACAGTCTGAGCCCCAGGCTGGCGGCCTCGGTTCTCATTCGACGCCTCAGCAGCACCTGCGGTAGTGCCGTTCACGCCCGGTTCCTCCGTGAGTCCCAACAGCAACGCAGCACTTTGGGCAGCCGTCTCGGCGTATATCAGCGCCGCGGCGGCGTTGCTGAGCGCATTCTCAGACTCATTCAAAGCCTTCTTCGCCATCTCCTCCGCTTCCTCAGTGGCCTCCACCAGCTTGGTCCTCTCCTCATCACTATCCCCGCTTCCTCCCGTTCCCGGTATGGCATGGGCGTGACGCATTGCTTCTTCGGCGCTCTGTTCCGCATCCCAAGAGGACCTGTGTGCCAACGCCGCATTGTCTCGTGCTGCTTCAGTGCTTCTAATGGCATGTGAGAAAAATGACACCATCGCCTTTCATTCTGCCTCTGCCTGCGCGGCGACGTCGGTTGTCTTTCCTTTTGTTTTCGCCAATGCGTTGCCCAATATGCCTTGTGATGACGTAATGGCATGCACTGCATCCGCCACCTCAGCAAGCGCCGTGGACGCCATCTCAGTTGCCCATGAGGATGCACTTTGGGCTGTAAGCGATACTGAAACTGTTTCATTCGCCAGAGCAGTGGCACCTGCCTTCCCCACCGATGCCACTGATGCCTTCACGGCATCCCTCAGCCTCACTGCTGCCTGGTGCGCACCCTCCGCCGCGTTCTTGCCAATCCCCACCTGACTCCTGAACGCGTCAACGCTCTCCGCGGCCCTGCCCACCGACTCGTTAACGGCACCCGCCACCCCTTCAGGCGGAGCAGCGGCGGCAGCCACGCAGAAGGAACCGCAGCACAGCACAGTGGGCAGCAGGAATACCACGCAACGCGAACACCACTACCATGCTCAATTAAAGCGCACTGGCCCGCACGAGAAAGAAAGAGAAGGGACACACGTGTAACACGCACGCACACGCACAGCCAGCAGGAGAGTGCGGCGGCCCGCAACACGCAGCGCATCCACAGCCAACAAGAAATCACATTAAAATAGAACACCCAAGGCGTCGCTCAGTGGCCCGAAGAAAAGAACTTAAAATACACCCCGTCCCCCCCCCCCTCCAAAAAAA